TAATGTGCTGGAATGTAATATGGGATGATTGGTTAAGGTCTAGCACAAGAAGAATTTATTGGACTTTTCCCAGGGAAGTGGGACATCTGTTGGAGTACCCTGTCAGTGGACATCTCAGGTGGCCAGCTAACCTGCTGGGGAAAGGATCGTCCTGCAGAGGGTGAATCATCAGCTTACAAATGAGTCACCCAAGATGACATCCCAAGTACTACTGGCAAACATCATACATGCTGAAATCAAAGATGAAACTGTCGAACAGTAGGAGTGGGGTGGGCTGGTTTATATCCTTCAGGTAAGGACTTGGATGTTTATTCTGGTTGCAGTTTGCAGTATTTTTCGTTGCAGAGCCTGTCAGATTCTGACAAAAATCTTTGTCAAGTTTAGTTGTAGTTCATAAGACAGTAAATAGAAATCCTGTCTATGATTAAAGACTGACAGGATCTAACAGTCGACAGCCTAAATAAAGGGAAAGACTGTCAAGGGTCAGTGGGAGGGGGCTGGGGGGAGTGGGGGACTGAAAAAAAAAAGCATTTGTATATCTCAGCCAGGATGAGAATGGAGTGTCACTTTTCCAGGAGCTAAGGACATTCACTACCTGTAGGACAGGATGCCAGAGCTTTGTGATAAGACAGAAGAGTAGTTGCTGAGAGAAATCTCTGATCTTAGCTAATTGTCCCTATTGCTCAAGCAGTAAAAAAACCCTGATCTAAGCAGGAATGTTTACAGCCATGTGAAGGAGTGCTTTAATAACAAAAATTTCCATGATTTTCTTTTTTTTTTTTTTTCTTTCAGGTTACATAAAACAAAAAACAAAATCAGCTAGTAAGGAAACAACTCCAGAAATAGAGGGAGAAGACACCAGATTCCTGCACATAGTACATGCCAAAGGTGTGCTATTCTTTGGTAACGCTTAATGTTGGGTGTCACAAGATAGATCTCATAGATGATTGGTTCTGAAGACTACAGATAATTCGTGTGGGAACGTGATAAAATATGAGAGTAGAAATATTGCTCTAACAATTCAGGACTGACAGATAATCTTGGAACAAGTGGGGCAGTTTTTATAATGGCAGAAATAAATCTGTGTACCCAGAGACAAGGCATAAAACCTGATGGTAATAAATACAGTAGAGAAATGAACTTACTGTATGAAAGAAGTGGAGGATAAGAACAGAAATAGAATGTAGGCTTGCAAGTTTGTAGAGAAGGGCAGAAGTTTCCATGGGAAAGAGAAAAAAGGAAAAATACAAAAATCTTCAGAGGTAAATATTGAGAAATAAATCAGTTGCTCCTTCAGTCCACAGTCTCCATCTACTTCTAGTTGATTCTGCTCCTTTTACAGCTGTCTTCTTGAATAGTAGCAGCTGCTAACAGGGCTTAGATATAATTTGTCCCATTTTCTCATTTCTTATAGAAGTTTGGCCTTCATTAGAAATCATGACAAAGATGGCAAAAGAGAATGCCAGAAATGCACAGGATTGCCATCTGGATTTGGGTCTGTGCAAGAAGCGAGTTAAGAGAAGAAATGACAGGATTGTCAATAACGTAAATGCAGGAAATAAATTGTCAGGAACAGGTGGAAACTGTGGTGTTTGGGTAATGAAAGTAATATTGCTGAAACATGAAATGTAACATATTTGTTTGATATTTCAGATGCTGCAGGAAGAGACAGCAACATCATGTTAAAGAAAACACTCTCAGAAGCTGTCAGTGGAAGTCACTGCAGAAAATGGAAAAAAGAAAAGAGAAAGAAAAATTGAAGTATATAAGCTTTCTCAAGGTATCTTGTGGTACCAGTAGTGTTTTGTAGAATATTTGACTACTGAGATGCATATGTGGAATGAGAGATTTGGACTTTATCTGGACGGTGTGTTGAAGCATGGAAATACTTGTTCTAAGTCAATGTAAGCATAAATGATATGAAAAAGTTTAAGAAATGAGGAATAATGTCTTTTTTAAAAAAAGTCAGTATATCCAGAAAGGATATAACTGATCACAATATAAAATAGCTATCCCTTCCCCCACTTACAAAAAAAGTAATGAAAAGATAAAAATGTGGTGACATAAAATTCCACTGACTCAAATAGCCACGCTCAGACGGTGGTAACAAAACCCAATTGTAGATACCACTTAATGAGTGAGGAAGTTCAGCCTCTAGGGTTTCTTGGGATTGGTTTTTTTTTTTGTTTTTTTTTTGGAGTTTTTGTTTTGTTTTGTTTTGAGCATTTTGTTTTTCCCATAGGAATTGCTAATGACAAGAACCTGACTGCAAGTTCCTGCTTTCTAGGGACTGGAAATATTCTAGGCTTCCAAGTTTGCAGTGAGGTTTTCCTAAAACTCCACTAATTCAAGGAGACTCCAAGAGCAGCAGTGACCTTTAGTCTAGAAACTGAGATGGGAGAGATACAGGCAACCTCCTCATGGCTCTTGCTGTGAGCTTCCCTGTTTTGTTTGCCAAATAATAACACACAAATTTTAACTCTGTCTCTTTTTCTTTTTCCATGGAAAAATAGCCATTTTTCTACTGGCTAATCATAAGATGGTTCTGAAAGGGAAGCTGGCTCTACTTCTCTTTTGAAATTGGGTTATTGCAAAAAGACAAATGGCAACATTCTCAAAAGCAGAAATAGAATAAGACTGATTCTGTAGCCAGGTGTCTAAAGTTGAAAACCACATTCTAGCCTATTACAATTTTGCAGCTCATCTAATTGTCCTTGATTAAACCTGCATTTGTTTTCCACATTGAAAATGTATATTTTAGCAGGCTTATGTCTAAGAAAGTTGTGATTTTAAACTAACGAATAGCACTACAGTTCAGTCTTCACTGTTATAGCCCATGGTGTAAATCTGCACTAAGAGCTTGGCCAATCTGTTATACACAGGACAGTTGGACTTTGTTGGCTTTTAAGTCAACTGTAGCTTTGCCCCAAGCACAGAACTGTTACATTGCTGCCCCAGACTGCAATATGAAAGATTAAAAATCTACAATCTGCCTCCTTGCTGCACCCTACTCTAAATAATTACCAGGCCAATAGCTCAGGCTGTTTTCACCCCATACATATGGACTAGAGCCAAGAGCCTGTTCCTGTCACTTTGCTTATCTCACTGTACTGCTCTTTCCACAGTTGGAAGAGAAAGAAGAGTGAAATATCATTTCTCTCCATATAATCTGACTCACAGCCAAACTAAGCTGCATTTTAATCAATTTCTTAATGATGTTTGAAAAAATTCAGTATGAAATGCAAATAAATTGTTAATATTTTTAATGTTTCCAGAGAGAACACTTTGAAAGCTCTTAATATTTTGGTGACATTAAGTAAGAACGTCACGGAAGACCATCTGCTGTTAGGACCTAGAATCCAGGTATGAAATCTTGAATGTTATTTTGCTTGTGCCCCAAGCTTCTTTGCTCTTGGCAAGCCACTTGTTCTGTTGTTTAGGAAGATTATCAGCAGATTTTTTTCCTTTCTGTAACACAGTGGCTTTTTCTGGTATTAATCACCTGATCAAATATTGAACTCCACTGATACGGCCTGGAGATATTTGGCTTTACTGCCTTAGGTTTTAGAGAGAAGCTAGTCTTTCTCCCCTCAAGCTTTCCTCAAATACAGGAATTTCTCTTTAAATCAAACAGAAAATTGCATTTGGGTGTTCTGCAGCGAGGCTAAAGTCACTTTGTTCACAGAGTGAATATGTAAATGGAGATATTTTAGCATTCATCTTATCCTTCACGGTAGGTATATCACTCAAAGTAAGCCTACGGTTACACGTAAACTACTAATCCCCCAGGAAATATTCTCTCTTTTTTGCAGAAGACAGCACTGCCTCAATTTAATATGTTCCATATTTTTAATCAATAACAAAACAAAATAAAGGTAATTTGTTTATGTTTGACGCTTTGAGTTAGAAGTTTTTTGTACTTGTGCACAGATTGCCTCAGAAAGAAAAAATAAAAATAAGGCTATCACTTCAAAGGAAAGTCCGCTTTAAAACATGTTACAAATGGCAAATGTATGAATAAACTGTTGACTTTATGAAAGAATTAGTTTCTGAAGTTCTTCAGGTCTTCGAGGTTTCTCTGCAATTCTATCATTCTCTTTGGTATCTTTGGTATCTTTTCAGAAAGTAATTAAATATGTCTCTATTCAGGCAAGCTCCGTAAGCCCATGCCTGACACACTGAGATGTGCTTTGCAATGGGGGATTAATGCTGAGTGACATGTTCCTATATCTTACACACAGCTGTTATATTTCAGTGTCAGATTTTTCAGGCATAAACCCATCATTTAGCAGTCTCTTGGTTATTGCTCCTTGTGGGTGTCTCAGTTTGAGTTTGTAAGCACAAAACCCTGCTTTCCTTTTAGCCCATTTTTAGGACTGCTGTCCCACATCGATAGGTATGTAAACACAGCCCTAGGATCCAGATGGTCAGAATGCATGCAATATCTGTACTTTCACTGTGCAAGTGTGAATGTGGCAGAGGTTTCATAGTGTCTAGATTAAAATGGAGCTTATTTCTTCATTCAGTTCACGATACCAAAATCTAAAGATGATGACAAATAAATAAATAAATAAATAGATAGAACACCAAGTTAATACAGATTGCTTCCAATTTATTCATTTAAAATGAATGGTTATGGTAAAACCACTCAGTGTGAAAGTATTTTTCTTAAGAGCTCGTTATTTCCAGCAGCAGTTTTTGCTTTTCCTATACGAATATATGAAGGCAATTATGAAATGTACGTATCTATTTATATACCCACTAATGTGTTATTGAAAATACTGTGAGGAGGCTTTCCTGTCACTGGATGTCTATTCTTTTTTTTCTAACTGTAATGTGCGCATTATATTGCAGATAACTCCATTTTGTTCTTCTTTCTGAGCAGTTTGGAACGTTAGTCTCTAATATTTCCCTTAGTAGTACCGGTCAGAGTGAAAACAGTTGCTGCATGTAATGGTTTCTACAACATCTAGTCCTGATGGAAGCGTTCCTGCTGACCTCGGGGAAACTCAGAAGGCCCTGTTTCTGGTGAGTTCAGTTGGTCACAAAGCTGATAGCACTGGGATTGTTGATCAGTCAACACAAAATGCCATCCTCCAGCCACGTACAGCAGTAAGTACATAAAATGAGTGCATAGTCTGACTGAGGGGACCAAGATGTGCAATAACATCAAAAAGAATTTGAAACAGGACCATGAGCCTGTGGTCTGAGACTGCAATCTGAAGGAAAAAAAAAAAAAACAAAAAAAAAAACCAATAACCAGGAGGCCATATGCTGGGCAGCTATGAAAATCTGACATCTGAATAGTTTTGGGATCTGGAATACCACCTTTAGTTCTTCCAGTTGCAGCACACAGGATGACAGATGGCTTTGTACATCTACCTCATGCTGCAGTGCTCAAGCTTTTAAGAGTGAAGAAATGGCACTTGTGTGGGCACAAGAATAGAGTGAAGGATACAGGATGCACATATGGACAAAATATTGCCTGGCATCACAGATGGGTCTAATACCCCAAGGGATTTTGTTAGGAGACAGAGTGGGTTGCTTGCAAGAGACTGCAAGTCGGGAGCCAAGGGTGACAACTGAGCTGGTAGAGCAGTTCCTTAACCCTCACAGCGTAATCACACAGCATCCCCCCCAAAAAAATAGAGCATAAGAAGGATGGAGCAGCCAGGTTTAGTTAACAGCCTAGTGATCACTGGTTAACAGTGATGAGGCAGGTCCAAGACCAAGACAGCAATTAAAAAAGGCAAGGAAATATGACAAGCACAGCACACCTGTATATAGGTCAGGCAAGGGCCAAGGGTACATGCCTCGGAGTAGTTGCAGCTCTCAAGCTAGAGCATGCATGGGTGGAGGACCCAGAAGAGATTTCCACAGTTGTTCTCTACAGGTTTACTAATTTCATGGCACTCAGATCTAAGCTTACACAGCTGTACCATATCAAAGCAGACCATGAGCAGGGGCATCTTCCACTGGAAACAGAGGAAAAGATTGAAGAGGAGGATTACAGAAGGAGGAGGCTATTGGCTGGTTCGGGTAATTATGTCCTGTTATATTTAAGGCACTGATGGTTTTGGATTCCCCTCTGACGGTGTGGGGTTACTGGAATGTTATGTGTTTCTCAATGAGCAGAATAGACAATGCTGTTTAAGGGAACTGTAACTTTGTTTGACTCCCTGCTTCTTGATTGTAGATGGTTAAAGGGGGTTCACTTTTCTCTGAGATGAAGACGTTTTCTGACTCAAGAAGCAGTGCATCTGTCAGCAGTGTCTAAGTGGTCCTTGAAGGGCTGCAGTGTAGATCTTTAAATGAACTGTACAAACTAAGTCACAGGGGCATGGTACATCAGGAAGGAACAGTAGATTATACACAAGTTAACAGGGCCTACATGAGCTGTACTGAGACTGCAATAATCAGGGAAAAAATACCCTTCTGTTCATGAATGCATAAGGATGCAACAAGCAAATTCTTGAAGCTGTGAGTCTTTTCCACTTATATCACAAGCATGTGTAGTAACAACTTGGGCTTCAAGTCCACACTGAGGTACAGCTATAGGAAGAAGCAGAAACAGCTCCTGATTCTCTGTCACTGGGTAGTGTATGCGGTATCTTGACTTGATGTAGAGTTGATCTGACTGAACTAAGCATCCAAACAAATGTGTATCGCTTGCCCCTCATCCAGAAACAAAGAGTATGATGACATGTATCTTCAAGGATGAATGAGAAGCCCTTTAGGGAAAATCTTCAGATTTTTAACTTTGGAGTTTTCTGCGGGGATAAAGTGACACAAAATTGGTGTAAGTACAGACATGCCTCAGGGCTTTATTGTCTTACAGTTAAATCAAAAAGGCAGATGTAAACAAATTGTTCCCAAGGAGGATGGTGATAGGTTAGCTGTGGAAGTTAGAGCAGTTGGAAAAGACTACATATTTTTCTATGCTGATTTTGTTATAGTGAGACAGAGCTGGTATTTTCTTGGCTTTGGAGAAAGAAAGAGGGCTTTTCAGCAGTAAGTAATAGGCACAGTCTTTGCTACTAAGATAGGACAAGGAGTAAGAACTTTAAACTAACAGGGGGTCAATTAAAATTAGACATTAGGAAGAAATTCTTCACTCTGATGATGGTGAGGTACTGAAAGAGATTGACAAGAGAAGCTCTGAATGCCCCATTCCTATAAGTGCTCAAGGTCAGGCTGGGTGGAGTTTTTAGCAATTAGTCTCGTGGCTGTTGTCCCTGCCCATGCCGGGGAGACTGGAACTAGATGATTTTTAACAACCCTTCCAACACACACTATTCTATGATTCTAGTTTCTAGAAGCAGCTGTAACAGTAATATAAGTTGTAAAGAACGTAAGAAAAAGGAACACTAGAAAAGGAGCAGATAAAGATAATGGATGATAGAGCAGAATGGAAGATAAGGAGATAGAAACTGTCAGAGAAGATGTAAATACACAAAGATATAAAGTGATAAAGTGAAAATCAAAGACATGAATGGGTTATATTTCTATTTTGCACTGTAACAGTTTTTGAATTAATGGTTTAAGTGATTTGTTGTCGATCAAGCTATCTAAATGAATACAGTTGGAAGAGCATTTACTGGTGTTTGTCATTTCATATGACAGCCATATGAATTTTTTCAGGTTGAATTAATTATATTGCTGCACACAGTAGTGAAACTGGGAGCATCTCCACATCTGTGATGGGCATCTTGACATGGCTAGTGTTTTAGAAAGTAGTATTAAAGTTCAACTGGAACATGTACTAATGAGATCACAGGAAGAAATCATACCTTTCAGGATGTTCAATACTTTCCAGTTCCCTTCCCAAAAGTACATATTAAAATCTCCATGCGCCTGTCTGTATGACTATCATGTGATGGAAAGTACAGTGACAGTAACAGGTGGCACAATCCTAGGCTGTAGAAAATGAGAACAAGCCTCATTACAGCAGCTGTGGACAAAGAAACAAAGGAAGAAAAACTGCAAGCTATGAATCTAAATATTTATCTAACATTGAAAACCTATGGACAACTCTTTGAAATATTTAACTCTCTGTACATAAATAGTCCAGTAAAGCCAATTGGACTGGTCTATTGTAGTAATAATCAGGTGCAAAAAATTTTACAGAGTTAGAGTTTGATTATTTCCCATTTCTGTCTTTGAATTTCAGCTTGCTGTCTAGACAGCATAAGTTCAGACAGCTGTAAACTGCTATAATCTTATGTTTATTTGAGAAATGTCTGAAGCAAGTATTTCAAGAAAAAATATAAAAAGATATTTCTTGAAACTTTGTACTTGAAAACAAATCATTAATGTTTTGACACAAAACCAAGAAAAAATATGTTGTGAGGTATAATGTTGCTCTTCTATTTCAAAAAGTCTGCACAGTAAGCTGGAAGTAACAACTTATAAATTCTACACTTGAATCCTTTGAATGTTTTATGCACGTTAACCTCATGCATGTGAATATTTCATCAAGATCATAAGTAGGAACTTAATATCATTTGACACTACTGTCTGCGCATTGCCTCCTCAAAACAGCTGCAGGGTTCTTGGCTCTTGTAGGTTCTGGTAAATGAAGAGATTTTCTTGAGCAGACACTATGCACTTACATGCCAAAGACCAACAGTGTCCTGGGCTGCATCAAGAGTTGGCTAGGAGGGCGAGGGAGGTGATTTTCTTCCTCTATTCTGCCCTTGTGAGTCTGCAGTACTGTACTCAGGCCTGGGGCCCCCATTACAAGGTGAAGATCTACCTGCACCATCGGGTACAGAGGAGACCATGAGGATGATCAAAGGGCTGGAGCACCTCTTCTATGAAGACAGGTTGAGAGAACTGGGCTTACTTAACCCAGAGAAGAGACAGTTCCAGGGAGGTCTCCTAATGACCATCCAGCACTCAAAGGGAGCTTATGGAAGGAAGAGGGCTGACTATTTACATGAGCAGATAGTGCTAGGAGAAGGGGGAAATCATTTTTAACTAAAAGAAAGGAGATTTAGATGAGATGTCAGAAAGAAATTCTTCACTTGGAGGGTGGTGAGACACTGGAGCAGGTTTCCCAGGGAAGCAGTGTGTACTCCATCCCTGGGGGGCTTAAGGTCAGGTTGGATGAGGCCCTGGGCAGCCTTGGCTGGTGGGTGGCAACTCTACCCATTTACAGGGGTTTGGAACTGGACTGGGCAGTAACACTTCTTCCAACCCCAGACTCTCTATGAAAATAACTCCATGTTGAATGACTTTTTGCACAATGAAAGTCCTGAAAGAATTTTGTTTTGAACATAAAACTACTTTAGAAATTTTCAGAATAACGTATTGATTGAGAAGAAGAGAATGTATTCTATAATCAAGTGTTGTTTGCCTGTATTTAAATGTATTAAATACCATAAACCTTTTGAGTAATATTATAGTATTATAGAATTCCCTTTCTTGATGAACTAAAAATTCCGTAGCACTATTGCCAAGAGACTCAAAGTGTCAAATGTATCCTTTTCAAAAAATGTCAGGTAAATTAGTAGCACTGTTTTGAAACTAATATGTGAAATTTCCACTTAGCTACATATATGAAACATTTCTCTTGCCATTTAAAAGAGTAGGATCACTTGGGTTTCAGACCATTTTCAGAATCCACAAGTAACTAGACAGATGATTTTACATGTTTTCAATTAAGTAGGCAGGATACTCAAAGCCTTTTTAGTCCACTCATTAGTCAAGCAGAAGCAGATACAGAGAAGCAGTTAATTTTGACAACAAATGCTAAGCTTTTTATCTCTATATTCTATAATCTGTTCCAAGTACTAAACAGCTCAAATAACAAAAATGTCAAGTAGTGAGTCTAGTTTGAAATACTGACTTGCCTTAAGCGGTTTGGCTTTGGATAGCATGATATGCAAACAGTTTCCCATTAGGAAATGAGTTGAAATGTATTTTTTTTTCATTAACTGTGTGGTATTACTGTTGCAGTAAGTTTTGAAGTTACGTCCCAATTGTGGATCCCAGATGACTGACACATGAACACATTTTTTCCTACTCTTTGAACACGTACTTACTTCAAACTCTTATTTCCATGGTGTCAGATGTCTTTGCAGGTGTTCTTTAAGAAAAATTCCTTCAGATTTGTGGTTGAAATGGATACTGATTTTTTTAATGTGTCCGCTCTACCCCATTGACTTTTAAACTAGGAAAGCATTAGCTCTGAATTACTCTTTGCTATTCTCTAGTTTCAGTTCCAAGAGAAGTAGTTCCCAAAGCGTTTCCAAGTGGTTGAGGTTTTTTGATTGGTTTGGTTGTTAGTTTGCTTTTCGTTCCTCTTCCTTACCTCACATCCCCCCCTAAGTTCTTATCCACTTAGCATTTTCCCTTTGGAGAGAGTCACAGATTTATTTATTTAACTTTCCAAGGTATTGAAGTAGCAATATTTTGCCAATTATAAAGTTTATATGCCTCCTTACTACCTACTTTTTCTGAACTCAGAGCAGTTATTAAAGCATAACTATAGATCATGATGCTTAACGATGAATCCAGAATATACCATGCTGTAAATTGAGACTTAAAAAAAAGATGTTTATCTGCAGCAAACTAGTTCTTTACTATACAGGTTCTTAACACATAGCAAGCTTCTTTCTTATGTGGAACATAGCACTGTCTCCTCAAAATAACTTGTTAAAACAGCAGAGATCCATAAGAAATGTTAATTAGATGCAGTCACTCTGCCCACTTGAAAATCTCTTTCTCTGTGTGTGTTGTGTTTGTTTGTTTGTTTGTTTTTCCTGGAATTGATACAAGAATCACGTAACATCATTATTAATAGTCTTGTGTTACTGTTGGTCTTACACAGCTTTCCACTGAATGAGGGTCCTTCACTGAGGGTTTTTTTTTTTTTTTTTTTTTTTTTTTGTATAGTCATTTACCTTGACACTAGTGCAAATTTTATTCTTAACTCATAAATTAACCTCTTGTGAGAGAGGAAATGAGTTTTCACAGAAAATGTTTCCGATACGGACTAAAAGAGTGTTTTTCTAAGTAAAGAAATAGTATTAAAGAAAAGCATATTCAACCTTGTAATATCAAAATCTGTTGTGCAGGGGTTTTATTGGTCTTTACTTTTCTTTTATCCTCCTACAGAGAATTTCTAAAATCTCTAAAATAGGAGCATTTTCTTTGTAAACCTTGATATTGTTGAAAAATTCCCCGCTGCCACTGTCTCCAGAGATCTGGAGTTGTCTGGATTTTTCGTGTTCAGGGATAGAAAACCTTGCTGATGCTTCACATTTAGGAAAATCCACGAGTAGCATTTCAGTCTCCAGCAGAAAGTACTACTTGATAAGAAAGCATCTTTCAGCATAAAGAGCACAGTAGGTGTCTCTAGAAATAATTCAGCCGTGAAGACACTGAATTCTATGTGTATATTCAACAAGCAATCAAGTTTGTCTTCATACAGGCTGTTTGCTTTCTTCATTGGCCAGTAGTTTGCTTCACATTAAAAATGAGTCATGACCTTGCTAGTCATTTATGTCTCTGATATTTTCTCATGATTTACTGACTTCAAATTAGAACTGAAGGCTTTCAATGTACATGACAAAACTGAAGCCTTCAGCAAAAAGTTTCAACTTTGAATTTGTCAAGTAAGAAAAAGCAATTTTGACACGTTTGGACCTCCTGGCCTTTTATGGATGAAAATGAGCAAACACTCAGCAGTCTGGTGGAAAAGACAGCAGAGAGGATCACTCAATAGCTCTGCATTGCCAGTTTAGACACTGCAGCTCTAAAAAAAGGGAAGAGGGATGACAGAGCCATGGTCAGAAATCTGCAGTTCTAGTTTCCAATTTAAAGACACAGTGCATTTCAACACATTATGTTGCAATTGTGGAAGGAAACTGGAATTCATGCAGGAACCTAGTACAAAAAGAGCGAGCAGTCTGGCTTGGCAGATAAGGCTATAACAGTCAATTCAGGAAAGTTTTATTAGGAAAATGAAAGTGAATTACTGCGCAAATGTAATAAAGATGGTCTAATACTCACCCTTCACAAGCCTTTATCTACTTGATACTAAAAATTAGTTTTCATTGCTTCATTAGAACTAGAGTATAAAAACGGTAGGTGAAAACAATTTCAATTGTATGCCCCAACCCCCCTCGCAAAAAAAAAATCAAACTGGTATTCACAATTAGAGGTCAAAATTTACTATGTGATAATCTAAATACAAAATTTATGACAGAAATTGCATCTGAATATTGAGGACACAGCAGCTCAAAAAGCATCTAGTCCTGTAAATGGAGATAACCGGGACAGTTTACCCTCCAGCCCCAAGGCTGGGAACTAGGAACCTGGGATATGCTCTGACGTATCTGGCCCAGTTTAGGCAAATCTTAACAGTACCATGTTAATGTGTGATAACAACTAACTGTGCTAAGTGGACCTTGTATAAAAATAGCTTAAATCATAGTCCTGGAGAAAATATTTACTGTGGTTAGAAATATCAAATAGGAAACAGTATGTAAAATGGTCTCTGAGGTTGTTGATGGTTTTGTAGCCGGGAAAAACAGTGTTTAAATGAAGTTGCCTCACAAAGTGGTGTGATGATTCAGTGGAAGAGCAAAAGAAAGGAGCAGCTGATCGATTTAGGGAGAAAGTAAGGAGTTGAGGTGGACATAGGCCAAAAACAAAGAGTGATAAAAGGGTGTGATATATTGAAAATCAGACAGTAATGCCAGATTTATTGTACATCTGCAGCTCTTTGGAAAATGTCATATGTTCCCTTTGTTGCTATTGAATACAGTGTCACTATGAGGAGGAAGCTTAAGCAAATGTGCAAGAAGGGCATCTGTTCAGAATTTTAGCTTCTAAAATGGGAGTTTCAGAAAGAGTCTCAGAGACCTCCCTGGAGCATTTGGGCCACACAGAGCTGATGTTTAGTATTTACATCACAGCCTGTTTTGCCCTGAGATTTTTTTTATGTGTTGTTTTAACGAACAGCGCGGACAAAAGCGGCACTGTAAGTCATATTCCCCTGAAGACAATGTAACTAGGCCAGCTGAACCGCTGAAGCCTTGCTGAATAGAGGCGAGTACTGCTCATTCCCCCAGCTGCTCTAAAAGCTGAGTCAAAAACTTAAAAGTTTTATAATACACGTGAGGTCTCAGTTCAGCTGACTTCTATGCATGCACTGATTGTGTTTACTTGTGTATGATAGGACAGAATCTTCGTGTACTCTCGCTGCTGAACGAAAACATCTACTTTACCTGCAAGCTGTGGTTAGTTTTCCACAAAAGCTCGCTTCATGACATTTGGTGTTATTTCAGAGGCTGGGACTGCTTCCCTGACACAAGCTTTTCCTCCTGATCACACGTGTAAAATTTCTTGTTCCTGGTTCTATTCTTGAAGATGCCAGATCGCTTTGAAGGGAAGTATGAGCAAATGGGGAAGAATACTTGAGACTCTGAACACCAAACAGGCTGCTAAGCCTCTCCTTGGAGTGCGTGAGTCTGAGTGTGTGCATATGTGCATTTCTATTTCAGTTGGTTGGAATGGGTTTTGCAAGCTACCAGAGAGAATTATTATTCCAGGACTGAAGTTGCTCATTCAATTCTCTGGGGAACACAGAGTGTTGCTGAGACTTACCAGAGTGAATACAGCACAATACAGCAAGGCATGCACCCTGCTGAACTCACTCCAAGCATTTGCTAAAAAGCATGTATCATAGGAACAGAAATGTGCTTTCAGGTCTCCCAGGGTCTGATTAAATTCAAAAATGAGAGAGTTTCCCATTGTGTTTTCCATCAGCCCATTTCAAGTGTGGGAGAAAGGGGATGCTGAAGCTTCAAAATGTGTAATTCTTAGAGGGCTCACAGCAACACCTTTCATATCCTAAATTGTACAGCATATATGAGTGTGAGCTAGACGTTGATTTACAATAGCATTTTGTTCTGTGTGTTCTGTAATTCTGAATGCTGAACTCAAGTTTTCTTAGTTAGGTTTGTGTCAACCCGTGTGATCAGGAGGTTCACAATTGACCCTAGTTCTACAGGTAGAAATCTTGCTAGCAATTGAACAGTCTGGTATAAATGCCTTGATTATAGAGTAAGCAATGAAAGACAGTGAGTACAACCAATGGAACTGGGAAAAAAAGTGATCCTATTCTGTCAGTAAAACAAAGGTATGGTACAGAAACGAATGAATACTAAAATTCTGTATTTACTTAAGTAGTGCTGCATAAGAGGCACACTTTATTTATACTGGCAGCAATAAGCAAGGGATTTACACTGATAAAAGAAACTGTATATTAAAATATGCATTACAAGTACTGGAAAATTTCTCCTAAAGGTCTTTTGACAGAGTAATAAAAAGCAAGAAGCAGAAGCCGGTTAGATGCATTTTAGAGTCTAGTTTTACTGCTTTTTAACCAAGTAACTTTAAATTTTTCTTTTTTTTCTTTTTTTTCTTTGTTTCTTCCCATACACCATCTGGTGTCACTACTGTTCAAGAACTGAATTTTTAGAGGAAGTAGTATCTTTTTTTCAAGGTTTAATTTTTTTTTTTTTCCCTTGCTCATAAGTGCTCTACCATGTTTACTGGATTTCCGGTTTCAGAAAAAAGAGGAGTGTTAAGGTAAGTTACTACCTCCTTCCCTTTTTATCAAGTTCTGTTTTAAGATCTCAGCTTACAGTCTTACAATTTTTCTTCATTACCAGACTATCTGATATCAAAGGACATGTTCTAGAAAAGCAATTTAGCAGAGAAAAACAGATTAATTAACCTCTGATCATTGTGTAACACTGGAATAATGAATATATTTGTAGTTGCACAAGCCTAATTTATATTTTCTCTGACAGAGGATAAAGACTTGTGTCAGTGTTCAATCTGAGATATTAAAAAAATGATGCATAAGCATAGACTCCTAAGTGTGTCAGGATACTCTAATTTATACTCAGAATTCCCAGAATGGAAATAACGTATCACCAGTATTATAGGAGGAGCTTCACAGCACTCCTCCTATAATAGGAGGATTAGTTAGAGTTGTGTAAGTTGCATGGCCTTGGACATGGTTCAGCAGCTCTGTGCATATTGACTCCTTCCAATAAAACAGCAAATTTCAGTAGGTAAGGGTACACCTCTGGTATGTCAAAAGACAACTACAAGCACTGCATAAAGGGCTTTCTGAGATTGGCACTGATTTTATTTTGGACTATTTTTAAAGAGAGATGTTGTTGGAAATTATTCTTACCAAAACAGCTCAGAGTAGAGAAAGAATAACAAAGGATAGTAATTTGACCATACCAAGAAACTGAAAAAACTATTTTTTCCATTGACAGAATAATCAGTGCAGAGTGCAGGGATTAGAATACAGAGGCAGAACAGTGTGGATTACCCTGATTTCCCCCAGGGTTGTAATAATTTCTGCCACGGCAGTAGAAAACCATGTGCACAAAATCATTAGACTCTTGAACAAAACTGAGAGTTGAGGTATCAGTACTACCCCAACCAAGCAGAAGAATATCTCAAGGAGGTCCCCCATGTGTACTCAGAATAACAACAAACAACTCTACTTAGAGTATATGCTAATTTAAGCAAATAGGAAAATTGATATGAAAATCCTGAGCGGTAGAACAAGATAAAATTAATGAAGACTTGTTAAATGAAATGCTTAGGTAACTCAAACTCAGTATTTTCAGAGACAGTCTAGTGAGGCAGTAATACCACAAGACCAAACTATCATGATATGTGTAGGTAAAACGGTATCCTCCAGCAATGTATGATATATGCTACTCTGAAAGCAGTGTCTCCCATTTTATTGTGCTGACTCACAATGTTTGAGGTGAATGTTGGTGGTAAGGCAGTTGAAGTTGAACCTTCCTGCCAATATTCCATCATGTGTTGTTGCTGTGCAGCGGATGACAGCAGAGGGGCAGTCTGATAAAATGACATCTGACATAGAAGAGCATATGAAGCAAACTTGTGAAAATTAATTCCTCTGTGCAGAAAAAAATGGCTCCCATTGATGTTCATCAATGCTTGCCGAACATTTATGGAAACCAAACAGTGGATGTGAGCTCAGTAAGGCAGCGGGTGGTGTGTTTCAGCAGTGGCAACAGCAACTTGAAAGAAAAGCCATGTTTCAGGTGGCCATACAGTTTTTTCACTAGCACAGCATGCAGGCTCTTGTTCAACACTGGGGAAAATGCATAGCTAATAATGGTGACTACCCTGAAAAACAGTGTTTTGTAGCTGAGAATTTGCTTTATGAATTGGAATTGTTGTGCTCATTATATCTGTTGTAATTTCCAAGGAAATAAATAGGAGGTATGATTTTCAGAGTGAATTATATAATGCTATTGCACAGAAAGCATCTTTCATTCTAAGATGCAGTATTTGAGCTAACATATGGAGGACATCTCTGATTGTCGAAGTAAGGAAATTTTCACCTGTTTCTAACCATTCTGGCTTTTTTTGCCCTCAGAGAAGGGAGACTTCTGCCAAACCAGTGTTTTTCCTGTTTTGAAAGGACAACACAATACTACTGAAAGCTTATGAGAAGATGTATGTTCTAAATCATCTGAAGTTTTCCTAAGGGGTAAGTACCTTACTCAGTAGGATGCATTCACAGAAGATTCATTATATTTGAAAGAGCTGGATGACATTTGGTATTCAAGCAACAGCGTTATTTTCGCGAGAGAAACTGCTCTGTGGAACAAGGACTCTAGTGTAATTCACAACAGTCGCTTTCCCAGAGGGATGCACAGCAGTGGTGTTCTTAATACCATATAGATCATCATCATAATGCATTAAATAGCTAGTGACAGACTGTATTGTCAATAGAGAGATTGTTTATAAATGGGACAGCTGGAAGCTGACTGCTAATGAGTCAGAAGTCACAGAAAAAATTAATATCAAGAAGAAGAATTTGAGTCTTTGACACTTATTTTTCTCTTTATCCATGAATTTCATCTCAAGTTGCCTTAAAAATTGAATTTAAAACTCAAATGTAGTAGTTAATACATATTTCATTTCAAGCAGGAAACAACCTAATTAGAGTAAAACAAAAAGGTTGTACTTTCTGTGCAGTGTGAAAAATAGGCCACAGCACATAAAGCCTAAAGTTAGCTTTAAATACTTTTTGATGACACAGAATGTTAATTGAATGAGTGTTTTGCATAATGAACAGGGCTCTTTCAGCATAATAGAAAGAAAAACATTAGAGAGCACAGTGGAATGACCCCCTCTGGAGAACTGACCCAGCTTTTAGCAAATCTCTCTGGGGATTCTTGATAATCAGTAAAAAGGGCCTTTAGGGAATCATTTCTCTCCTTTTAGCCACTGACACTGAAATTGTCATGCATGCTTCAACAAACTGTCCAGAGAATTGTGATAGTATACCACCTACCAGGATTTCCAAGTGAAGCTGAGCACCTGGATGAGAATTGTTTCTCAGACCTAGAGAGAAATCTTACTTGCTGGTCAGAATGCAGTCTTAAAGCTTTCCTCTCACAAGTAACAACGATGTAATATTTTTAAAACTACTTTTTGCATCAGGACAGTTGTCTGTCAGTAGACAGTCCGGCGTTCATGGCACAGATTACATGCTACCATATAAACAAATGTGTCTGAGTATTGTGCTGGAAGAATGAAAATACTGCTTAAATAAATGGCAGGGGGGGACTGAGCCTGAAACTGGCTACCATCACCAGCTGAACAGCAAGCAGTGAAATAAAATATATATATTCTCTAGATCTTCATCAGGAATACTGGACAAAAGTCTCATTAATTTGATCATTTTGTGTTCCGTTGGAAAGAAGGTGACATCCTCAGCAAGAGGTTGGATGGAGACCAAGGTTCTGAAATGCTGTGTGTTTTTCTAGGTGAATTGTTAGGAGTCCCAGGATACCAACAGACCTCCTCCATTTTGTGTGCGCTTGTAGTAAACGGTAACTGGAGAAAAGAGTCAGGAATGCTTGTCCTTCTTCAGGTACGTGTCAAAAAAACAGGTAAGGATTCCAGCCTGATAACCTTATAGCTGTGTCCACAAAATGACCGTTACCATTTTAGAATCTATGCGACTTCCTACATACAGAAACAATTCTGCTTTTCTTCTGGTGTGGCTATTTCGATTCATTTGAAATTAACTTTAAGAGTGATTAGCACCTTAGAAGTGTTACCATCATGATTTCTACAGAGATTGTGCCTGGGTTCTTATTACTCTTAATGCCATAATTTCTTTGGAGGGAGCTACATACTTAATTGAAGCTAAGCACCTAATTGAAAACACATTTCCTCATTATAGGTGCCCATCAGTACATAGGAATCTTAAGTACGCTGAGTCCAGGACTGAAATTTTATTTTTTAATAATATTTAAGTACCTTGGCTGTCATAGAATGTAATTTCTCTAAGGATTATGAGTAGTTACATTCCCACAGCTCATTTTTCACAACATTGCCCATGCTAATGCCAAACAGATCCACAAGTCATGTATATATAACAGACTGTGCAGCTGAAGATATTTCCACAGCAGTAGCCCGTCATTCAGGTATCAAATTGTTGTGCAGTTCCTTTCCAGTGTTCTGTCAAAGCAGTCATGGCACTGGATATTCTTTTCAAAGCTTCACATCATCAGGTGATTAGCAATCTTGCAGAAATAAAACTGATGCCTTCACAGTTGTAAAGACTACATATAACATTCCATTCAGGAACGGCAAGAACTAGAAGATAGAATACAAAATACAATGCAGTGTATTTATTATTCAATTTAAACAAATCTTGTTGGATGTGTACTGTGTAACTTTGAATGAAACATCCACCATCTCTAAAACCAAGTCCACCCATTTGCACGTATTTCTCATTCCCAATAGATGTCTGTAAGTTTGATGGAATGAAAGAATCAAAAGTAAATCTAGTTTGGAGTAAGTGTAAAATGCTTGTTCATTCTTTTGTACCTCAAAGAGAAAATTAAGACTATTTAAAAACAAACAGTTGTTGGTAGGAGTAAGTTTTCCAGCGTTATTCTGATGCCTTTTAAAAGAGACCATGTGCTTTAATAAATCATGTTTAGCTGCTTGCCCACGTACATGAAATGGAGATTGAAAGAGGAAAGGAGAAAAACTCTCTCTCCATGTGCTTCCTCCTTTCCTCCTTCGCTTTCCCTCCCTCTCTTTTTTGTACTGCTTCCCTCTATACCAGGATTAAATGTGATGTGATGACAGTGAATACTTGGTTACCAAAAGGAGATTAATTGAAAGGTCAGGTCAGCACAGGAGTACAGCAATATAGAACTTACTCTGTTTACAATACACTGAATATTTCAAGGAAGCTAGAGAAGGACACAGTACTAAATGTGATAACTTGTCAAAAACCTACCTATGTACTACCGGTTCATCTGTCCTATCTAATACATTACATTTTGTGTTTTCCTCACACAATTATGTTAACAATTAGATAATTTTTAAATTTACAATTTGAATGTACTAAAAAATACCGTATGTATGTGCTGATCAAAAAAAAAAAGGGGGGGGGGGGGCCTGGGGAACTTCCTTGTGTCTTGTGGATCTTCACTGATGCAATCGTGAGTAATGTGACACAGGGAAAAGGGAGGCTGGGGTTTCGCCATCAGCTGTGCCTGTAATAGTGGACATTCTTGTCAGATTCCTGTGCATCTTTTCCCCAGGTCATACTATGCTCTGTTCTGCATTGCTCAAAGGAATATGCATCAAGCCCATGGCATCAGCATGAAGGATGTAAGTAAGTATGTCTTCCAGAGTGAGAAGTGGTGGTGCTTTAACATCTGTGATATATACTCTATTGTGTGTGTTGTTCCACTGATCATTTGCCTTTGTTGCTGCCCAACTACTTATGCTCTATTTCTAGCCTCTATTTGCCAGTTTCAGCTTCCTTCTATTCGATCACTTCATACCTTTATTTCTATAATGTTTTTGAGTGCACTGAACTTTTACCAGCTGTCTTCCCCGTTTGCACTGGTTCCCTATGACCAAGTTGTCACCTAGTTGTCTTCTTGTAAACGAAATAAATGAAGCTTGATTAGCATCTATCAGACATTATACTGGGCATTTATCAGTTTACTCTTGTGAATATGTTTTAAATTTACCAAATTCTTTTTGAAATGGGAGTCCTCAGAACTGAGCACACCAATTTCACCAACACCTCCTAAAACTTTTCAAAAGTGTAGTGTCTTATCTCTTGTAACCTTATGGCACATAGTATCCTAAATTATAGTCTGTCACGTTGGTTTAGATAAGCATCTATACCTTATTGTGAAGATATGCACACAGTTCAAGTAGGGGTACCCAATCTGGTCTTAGTCTGTGCTGGATACTTGAATGCAACTGTAAGAAGAATTGCTTCGACTCAACCTTATTTATTTATTTACATCTAAAACCCTGGAACTGCAGTTTCATGGCTTATTCTATTGGAGCTGGATAGCTTGTATTTGGCACTTGCAATCTTGCTTTCCTTCGTATTTTACACTGAGAGAGCTGCATCAAGTGCTAGAAATGACATTCCCATCACTTGGTCTTTATGCACAGCCTGTGCAGTAATACAGTGTCTCTAATCACTGTGGATCTGTAATTCAAGGCCAATCAGATGAAGTATTGCAGTATTTTTTTTACTTATATCTTAAAATGAGATGAAAGTGGCCTTGAAAACTAACAGTAGCTTTAAAAAATCTCATATCAACCACAAAGGAGCTCTCTAGAAAGGGCTGAATTTTTCACGCAGGTTTTAACAACATTAGTCACTGAGATTAATATAATAATAATTTAATCACTATATGCCTTTTGTGATTACAATAAAGGAACGTCCCAGGAATTCGTAGCAATAACTTGTAGTACTACAACTAAAGAATTTTTCCTCTTATTTTCTATTTAAGTTGAGCCCTTTCAGCTTGTCTCCATTACATTCCTTATTTTAGTGTCCCCTTGCAATATACCAATTTGCTGGGTGTATCCAAATGGGAAATTTAAGAGCAGCTAGAAACAAAAAAAGTAAAAGCTGCACAATAGAAGATGTCATTAGAAGAAATAGATATTTAGATTTCAAAACCAAATCACGAGTGTAGTGACAGCCATTAAGACTAGTTATCTGTGGGGAGTATTTTTCATGTGTAATACACTGTATTCAGTTCTGATACAAAATGAAATTAAAATATTTTGTTTTGAGAAAGGTAAATATGTAAATTCTACTAATAGTTTAATTGTAATAAATACACAGTATTAAAAAAAAATTAAAAAAGGAGTGCAAGTTAACACTGAGAGTAAGTCTCCACAGTTTTATAATCTTTCTCTCTCCTTTCCATATTTCTACAAAGAAGTTGGAATTCTATTCTCCTTTTTAGCAAATGGTCAATCTTGGTGACTACAAGTTCATAATATTGCTAAGTATGCTTTAATCATAGAATCATACGGTCATAGATTCACTCAGGTGGGAACAGACCTTAAAGATCATCAAGTCTAACCATAACCTAACCAT